GCTTACATAGGGCTTATACAGGGCTTATATAGCGGTATGGAGAATAAAACGGATACTACTATTTAGGGTTTTGGTTTGGGTTTGGGGGTTTAGTGGTTTGTAAGGGCTAATTTAAACCCATGATGATCAAACCCGCTCCCCTTAATATGGATTGTAACAGGGATCCTAGCCAGAAGCCCCGTAACAGGAGGAGGTTCATTAATCAGGGTCTACACATCACACGGTTTAGGGTTTAGGGTTAGGGTTTAAGATTTGGGGTGTCGGGTTTTTTAAGGGGTTTAGGGTTTAGGGATTCAGTTCCAGACCAAAATTATGAGCAACAGGAGACTAGGATTTGAACCTATTCACAAGGACTACATTTTCATCATCCGGAAGGATACTCCGATGGAGCTTGCAATATGTCTTATAGGGGTAATGCAGGGAGGGGTAATGTAGTAATGTCGTAATACAGGGGGAATATAGGGATTATATAGGGATAATGGAAAAGAAGATGGAAACTGCTATTTAGGGTCTAGGGTTTGGAGGCCTAGAAGACCCAGTCTCCTTTATCAAGGATGCCATACGAGGTACAGTCAGCATATCTAATGAAATAAATGGACATGGGTTCCTTCTTCAAGAATAAATTAGGGACTATACTAAACTGCAAGAGGGACCCCATGTCCACTTTAAAGGGTCGCTTAATAAGGCTAATATTGCCAGTAGCTCGTATGAAGGTTCTATGTTGCTCCGCTGGGAAGGCGAGCAGTAAGCTTCAGACCGCAGGTGGAGCATGTCCTTGCTATGCTGATTCTTACCTCGGCATGCTGGGCCGTGAACCATGTGTTTGATTTGGGGCCCTGGGCTTAGCGGCTTGGGGTTGAGGGCGTGAGCTTAGAGATTCAGGCTTACGTTCATGTCCGGAGTTTTGGGCAGGAGTTTGCTTTTCAATCTTGATTGTGTTTCGATACAGCGTCCAGCTTATCGGAGCTTGACGGTTTAGGGTCTGGTGGCAACCTTTAACCTCAGCTGTCCTGCGGCCCGTCATGTGGCAACAGTATCGGCAGCTGATTTAAAATCAGAAAGCTTGGAGCAGCGCTGCTCCATAAAGCCTCTTCTACAACATCTTTTCAGACATGGTGGTCAATATAGACGCGTCACAGGTCGTAGTGCATGTCACAGTTGTAGGAAGGGAGGTAGTTGAAGATGTGCTTGGAGCGGTCATATTTCGTCTTCCATTACCATTCATGCCGAAGTAGCTGTATGACAGCTGCATCGTCTGTGATCGTGCAGTTGTCGGTCAGTGCACCACTTTTGTTGTATTTGTCAACGTAGAAGCTAACGAAATCTTTGTCATTACGGGTGATGTGGGTTTAGGGCCTGGGGTTCAGGGTTTGGAAACATCCTGAAGCCATTCCCCAACAGGAAACCTGATCCGTCATCCTCACAAGCCGCCATGACCCCAGAAATGCCTTAATTTGGGGTTTAGGGGTTTAGGGTTTAGGGTTTAGGGTTTAGGGTTGATCGCTCCTACACATTCTAGTCCCTTAATGCTACACCCTAATCCCACAATCCGGTATGGCTAGTTTCCGACATCAAGGCCTCGTTTGTCTACCCCGCAACGCTACATGCAATTAGGATGTCCTTAAGGGGGTAGTCCGAGGGGTGTAGGTAACCTAGTAATCCCCATTATTCCCTTATACTCCCCAACCTTCCCTAAGGTTCGCCAAGGCTCCCTTGTACCCTCCCCACTTGAACCACCCCCCTTTAGGATCCTAAATGGAAGTATATCTAGAATTCCGAAAGGGCCCACAATTTTGATCTAAACCCTGAACCGTAGCCATAGTATTAAGAATACTAATAACACATGTAATTGTAGCAATAAAAAGAAAATTAATAGCAGTAGTAGTAGTAGTAGTAGTAATAATGATAATAAGGATTATGATAATAATAGTACTAACAATGATAGTAGTCATAATTTCAGTAAGACCAGTAATGATCCTTCCTTTCCAAGGCTTTGAGATCACGGCCCATGGCTGCAGTTCACTTTCGGAGCCTGGCGTGATTCAAAATTTGCACCGAGCTACAACTTCTCAAAAGAGGGTTTAGGGTTTAGGGGTAAACTTGGGAATCTGCATCCTACTTGCTGGGGGTTGGTAGGAACAAGGGCATGTATGGGGTTGTATAGGCATGATGTCTCCCCCTAGACCCTAAACCCTAAACCCATTTCTCAACCTATGGATTTAGAGAAACAACCTGTGTTGGTGATGTAGACCCGTGATCTTCTAAGGGCCTTAAAATCAGGAACCCTATTATAACCCCTATTGAGGGGACGGGGGTTGAGTGATCAGGGGTCTACATGAATCTTGTTGGCCATGGTGTTCCTAATCTTGAGCATGTAAACGTTCTCTGTATCATCCAGGCTGTATTCTAAAAAAGTCTGATGTCCCATGCTTATAGTATTCCCTAAACCCTAAACCGATTGATAATCCTGTGATAGTCTACAATCCCTATATAATCCCTATAATCCCTATAGAATCCCTATATCCCTATCTAATCCCTATGGTTGTAGTCAGGAAGGTCTCGCGCCGTCCCCTGGTTAGCACTGTCAGCATTCATCATGCTATCGTGCACATTTCATTCAACGAAACCCATCCCCAGAAGCTGCAAGATCAGGGTTTAGGGTTTAGGGTTTCAAGATGTCATGATAAAATGGTTTCGGGTGGCTGAACCACTTAAATCCAAATGAGAGTTTACGTATGCTGGTAGGAGATGCTTCAACCGAAAGAAGAGTGCAATTCTTATGTAACCCTTATATAACCCGTATATAGTCCGTATAAACCCTATAGTTTCCATCTTACTTTTCCATTATCACCATTTAACACCAATATAACCCCCATATAAGCCTCTATTATTAACCTCTAAACTCTTTTTGACCAAACCCTAAACCCTAAACATTAATCCTTATGTAATGCCCTTTTTGTAATGACCCTTTTGACCTCTACTGCCATAAAGACATGGCAGCCATGCCTGTCAGTGCGCACTTCCAGGACTTCACTGCCGCTACGTGCAGCATGAAGAAGTTTAGGCTTAAGGTTTTATAGGGGATATATACGGGTCATATAGGGGTTATATTGGGATAATGGAAAATGAAACAGAAACTACTATTTGGGGCTTAGGGTTTAGGGTTAAAGGTTTCAGGGTTGTACTTCTTTGAGGCTGGCGGGTTATGTGCTGCGTTGTCCACTGAAACGTTAACAAGCTTTACTAAATCCATAGACAAAGAAAATGCATGCCAGAAAGCTGCTTCGTGCAAACCACGACCTAGTTTAGGGTTGAGGGTTTGAGACGGGCTCTGTTAGGGTTTAGGGTTGTAGAGTAAAATCCCCAAACCCTGAAGCTCTAAACCCTAAACCCTAAACCAGCAGTTTCCATTTGATTTTCCATTATCCCCTACATAACCTCAATATAAATTGGTTGTATGAGGACCTCAAAACAGGGACCCAGAGCCTTGCGGCTGCAGAAGGGTTGGTTTTTAGGGGTCATATAGGGGTTATAGTGAGGTATATATCGGCTGAATATACAATCCTTATAATCCTTATATAATCCCTATAATCCCCATATAATCCTTTTAATCCTGATATAATCCCTATAACCCATATAGGATTATATGTTGAGGAACTTAAGAAGGCTGTGGATTCAGGATTGAGGGTTTAGGGGCTTTGGGATTTTGGGTTCAGGGTTTAAGGTTTAAGGTATGTTTAGCGTTTAGGGTTTAGGGTTCTGCTACGGCAGACATTGGGATATGTCAGGGTTTTAGGGTATTCATGGAGCAGCAAATAGAGAAGAAAATGCAAGATGACATGAAGGCTATAACAGGGCCGAGGATCAGGAAACTTAATAGCCTTGGGGGTTGAGACGTTAGGTTCAGAGCATATTCAAGGCTAGGGCCAGGGATTCCTTGTAGAAGCTTTAGCAAAGTTCCTTAAAGCCCAATAACCCAATTATCATTTCTTGCTCCATGTTCTTGTCCATCAGATTCTTCTCTATGGTAGCTGAAAATCACCCCCATAAACAAAGCTCCTTAACAGCACAGCCCCAGTTTTTCAAAACACTAGAACTTTGCCTGAGGCATGACGGAAGTAGCATGACGCAGACTGAACTCATGCTACATCTGGGTTGCTGGCAAGGAAATCGCGCAAAGTTCTCCGTACTGTGGATTCCGTATTGTGGTAAAGTACCTTGATTTCAGTTCCTAAACACCAACCCAGATAAGCTGCCAATTTCCTTGGTGCTGTCGCGAATACAAGGTCTTTGGGTCTGCCCGCAAATGTGAAAAGAGAGATGCAGACCAGAGCTGGTATCTTAAGGGCTTTGGAAACTATAGGGATTATTTGGGAGTATATAGGAATTATTGGGACTATATAGGGATTATAGGGATTATATAGGGATTATAGGGTATATATTGGGGAATATATTGGGATAATGGAAAAGAAAATGGAAACTATGTTTAGGATCGGGCCTCCTTAAATTGGCATCTGCATCTTGCCATTCTGTACTTTGCCAGGCCGGATTCTCAGATGCATGACTCTGTACATCAAGTGAAAACAAGCTGCGTCTCAGCTCCCCTGGCACATGTCATCAGAAGAACGGAAAAAACGCATGTCAAGCCTGCAACCATGGCGCCAATGACCAGAAAAGGGATTACTGGGATTATATGGGGATCATAGGGTATATATTGGGGAATATATTGGGATAATGGAAGAGAAAATGGAAACTTCATAGCCACGGCCGCCATGGCTGCTGTTGCGCCCATCGCCAGCTACACTGCAGGCACCGCCACCGACAACCGCCGGCATACAAGCATCGTGCAACCATGTGAAAAATTGCTGATATCTGATATGCAGCCACAGCTCATGCCCAACATCCGCGATGGTCGGTGATTGGATAAGACAGCAAGCTTGTACATGCAACAATGTCACACGGTTGGTTGCACCTGCTCTGTGAGGTCAGGCAAGCCTTCTTCAATTCGACTTCCATCCAACAAAGGCGCCCTGTCAATCATTTTCACTATTACTGCTATTGTTCTTTTTATAACCATTATTTTATGCCTATTGCTATTCATAGGACTATTACTATTATTCCTATTCTTACTGTTCCTACTGTTATGAGTATTATGACTACTATTGCTATTATTGCTATTATTACTATTCTTATCATTAGTATTGCTCTTTTGAATCCAATTAATATTCTTGCTATCCTAACTAATACTATTAATATTCTTATTTTCATTTCTATTATGATATATTGTGTTTGTTTTCTTTTTTTTTTGGAAGGGGGGGGTGGCATAAGGCATACCTCAAGCAAACCCCCTGCCTGATTGCTAGCTGGCGCTGCTCTTGGCGCCTCCCACAACACAAGGTGAAGATTTGAAAACATCCATGTGAAACAAGTGCATACAAGTGCGACTGGTGGCCTCCAGTGTAGCTGGACCTGGCGCATTCTGAGCGCGTGCATGCGCTTCCTGTGAGGGTCGCCATTCCTTGCTGCAAGCATCTGGCTGTGGACGCTGGAGAATGCCACTGTGATGTAAACGAAGAGCTATGCTCAGGCATTCACGTGTGCCCCAGGATCAACACGTCTGCTGCCGGGTATGACCTTGCTCATCCAGCCCAGCATGATCAGACCAGAAAAGAAAACTTGCCACAGGGGCAAGGCAGGACAATAAACTGGTTCCTATAAGAGAAAAGTCCCTCACCTTCAAGAAAGCCACTCCTCAAGAATGCCACTCTCCTGACCAAGGCCAGTGCTCCCATGTCATTCAGGGGCACCTGCTGGGCTCCGGGGGCCTCAAAGCATCCAAAGAACAAGGAAGGCACAATGCAGAATGCAGCTGGTTTTCTGGAAACTGCAAAGCCTCGTGCGTTTTCAGCTGCTGCTGTCAAGTTGGGTGAGTGGTGGGCACTTGATGCTGTCCATGTATATCTACAAAACTAGGCCCTAGTAGCGGGATCAAAACCGTTTATACAAAAGCGATTTACGCCAGCTGCCCGCAGTCGGCGATGACGACGGGCTTGGAAGTCTTGCCAGACTGGGATCCAACGGCCTCGATCTTCTTTACGACATCCATGCCTTCTGTCACGGAGCCAAAGACCACATGCT